TTTTTTTTTTTTTTTTTTTTTTTTTTTTTTTGCTGTTACAATAGTGAATTCAGAACAAAGACAAACAATTTTTAAGAAACTTCCTTTTCAATACATGCCTACTTCTTGCCTGTAGAACGGAACAGTGCAAAGTCTCGTTCTTTTAAGTTTCCTTGTAACTGATTTGCTGTACTAAAAATAATTTTTGGACGTCGCAACAGCAGCAGACAATTTATTGTTCTGAAGCATTAAATAGCGCAATTGTCACAAAACATCAAGTTCGTAGCTAATGTATTGTTTAGAAGACAGCTTGATTTCTAGTAAATTAGAATACTTTAGATAAAAACATGACATTTAACTCCAAGAAAAATTTAAAGCAAATAAAACCTCCATTTCTTCACACACTTATTCATTTGAAAAACTCATTTTCATCTCATTCTAAAAAACCTTATTCCTTTTTAGCTCTACAAAAACAAAGGAAATTTAGAAAAGTTTAGAACTATTACCTTATCCAATGTGTAACCCTCTGTAGCTGACGTTACTTTACTTTTTAACACCATAGCAACGACTAAGCCGTAGATACCAATAATGCCTAAAATAAAATAGACCAATAAAATTACTGCACTCAACATCAAAAAAATAAAGAACTTTATTCCTTACAGTAGAATAATTCCCCAATATAATAGAAGTTTATATCCCCTGCTACATCATCTTATAAGCACAAACCAGCCATAATAACAGGAATAACGGATTTCATTGTAAGCTCCGGCCGCACCACACCCACTCACAAAATACCGGCAGCCGATTTACCTGTTCCGTATGCAGCACCCAACACAGTGAAAATCTGAACAGACGCAGCTCCCATATACCCAAAGAACGGGGCGTATGCCACTCTTTCAGTTACATGAATATCATAAGACATCTTTGATCGACCTCTGAAAAACGTCTGCTCAGGAAGCCTAATTCAGTAACCAAAATAACACGTGATGACTATTATCAGTAAAAATGAATAAAAAAATATTGAAAATATCATTTAACTATTTTAAAAAAAAGTCACAAAATAATTTCTTACTTTCAGAGTCGTCCCTCGATACCAAAAACAGCAGTAATTATCCAAAACTAGACCTCGTTTGAGCCTTTCGCTTAATTACCAAAAAAGCACCTCAATAACAGCAACATTTTGCTGTTTTTAAAGAAGTACGGTACCTCCACGCATCGATACAACCCAATATTGGCAAATAAATAACTAAGGAGTACCCGGTTTATTTAATCTGCGGCCAACCGACTAATGTAACAAACTTAAGCTCTAATTACCTTTCAACCGTCCGAAATAAATTTAGGCGATACAGTAAAATTACTCAGGATTTAACATGATTTAATCGTTATTTGCCCAACTGCAAAACGAATTATTTATCCAACAAAACCAACAGTTCTAGTTCTAATAAAAAGCTAATGAAAAGTCCTGGTGGAATACTCACTGCATAACTCACGTTGAAAATTTAGAAAGCAAGATTTTGGTTACAGTACTTCTATAACGTTTTTACAAGAATACTGTAGCTAGTTAAAGAAAATATCGAAATAAACGTAATACAGTCGTAGGCAATGTGAGACGGTAAATGAACATAGAAAAAAGAGCAATAGCAATAGTCAAAAAAAAAAAAAATTACTAAACTGCATAAACACTTTCGGACATTACATACTACTGTGTTCATGCATATTATTGCATTTTAACTGGGCTTGATGCCCGCCGGTTAAGAGACCGAAACTCGCTGCTACGAGAAAATATAATGAAGAGGAAACGATAAAATCAGGTGATCATTAACAGATAAAAATTCAGTTCAAAAAAGTTATGTTCTTCGGCAGTAGCGAAATGATTACTCCGCCTTCAGATCAAAATCAAAATCCACAGTTTTACGACCAAGGTGTCACCACTCCTTCTACGTCTCACCATCAACATCAACCCAAAGAGCCTAAATTCATAGCAGCATTGTAGACTAGTTTTACAGCACCGGAAACCCAGTAGACAAAGTATTCTCAATTCCAAACCTCCTATATATAGCCAGGTTAGATAAACTCACAATTAAGCAAAAAATTTCAGCAATTACACCAGCATTCAGCCACCTATTTAACAATGTCGTACCGTGTACAGAATCCTGAATTTCCTACCAACCAAACTAGCAAATAGCCAAAATTAAGTTTAAAAGCGACAACAATATTTTAAAAAACTGAATGCCTAGCTGTCAGTTTAAAAGAACAAAAACAGTAAAGTAATTTAAAAAGCAGTACTTCTACGCTAAAAATTGTGCAAGACTGACGCGCGACATCCTGAACTACTGCGAGGAAGTCTTATTTCACTTTTCCTTTTTTAAAAGAAATTCAACGCCACAACCTTTGAAAAAACTACTTTCCAATAAAAAATACGTATTTAGTACAAAGAAACTAATAAGAAACTTATTATTTTGTTTTTTGATATCAATCACTGATTGAAAAAAATTCGGCACTCTTGTCGATTGACGGCCTCAGCGCGCTGATTGGC